AAGAAGATATAACAGTTTTTAATAAGGAATAGAAGTTTTTTTACCAAGTAAAAGGAAATGAGTGATAACCCAAAGCCTTGGCGGAAAGGATTCTCAAAGGAAACAGCTGAAATAGAAGCAAGAGATAGTCTGTGATCTTGGTCTTCAGAGATATACTGGAGTGAGACAGATAAACTAAGCAATTGAGACAACTGCCTCATTACAAGGCAAAGTAAACCAAAAAGACAGCTTGATGACTTTAAGGGGCAGCTAACCTGCAAACAAGTTAGGTGATCTTTAATTATTCAGGAGATAAAATCAAAGTACAAATTGCAGAGGGACAAGAGACAGTGATCTAGCTAAGGAAAAAAGTCATCAGCCCAAAAATCCCTGAACTTAGACGGCAGGTAAAGATTTGCAGTCAGGATTCCTGTTGACTAAACTACATGGGTATGAAGTCCCTATGCAAGAACAAGCATTTAATTCCCCATACGTTTAGGTGGAAGGACCACTGGAGGGAATTTAGATAGATATCCAAACTGCTGTAGATTAAAAAAACAGAAAGAGATCTGTCAAACTGATGCAGTTTGGGAGATGTGAGATGGAAAAATGAGAGAACTGCTCTGTCTCACTGTTAAGAGTAAAACCACCTGAGTTACTACACAGGCTTCTCTAAAGATTCCATTGATTAGCTTCTGCTTATTTCATTTTGCATAAGAGTAAGAGAAGACATTCAGTTACTTTTGATCTAATGGCTTGTAATGCATTTTCATTATAGATAAGACCATTCACATCCCAAGCTCACTGGCATTTTACAACTGAAAAGATATTTTAGATCATATTCAACTATTTTGTCACTTACAAAAAAAGTCAAGAAGAAGAATTTTAGCTGATGTTCCTATAGCAGCAAAATTATAGTTTCAGTTGAGCAGCACCTGAGGGTCACTAACAGGCCTTGATGGTCCTTCCTCTGGGAGCTCTACCCAGCCTTTAGTCCTGTGTCTTCTGTCTCTGCCATGGACCTATCCAGCAGACACTAGACCTGACCGTGACTTGTGGGTTGATTTGCCAGCTTGGCCCTGGACATGCTTCATTTCCATGGACTTACTTGCCTGATGACCTGCACACTTGGCCAGTCTTGGCCTCAATCCCTGGGTCTGCCCTCCTGTCTTGCACCGGGGCTGGTCTCTGCCCAGCCGTCGCATGCTCTTCAGCTCGTGACTCCCATTCCTCACTGCTCCCAGAAAGCAATTTAACTAGTTCCTGCAGTTTTTCCTGTGCTTTCACTGTCTGTATGACGAAGGGAAAAACTAGATGGAGTTGAAAAAGGAAGAACCGAGCTCTAGTCATTTTGAAGACACTGGACTCAACCTGCTGTATAAAATCACTGCAATTCAAGGAAGCTTTAACTGAGTCTTGCACTACTTGAAAGCTGTAATGAATCACAGACAATTGGGTTTGCAGACACAGAAGGTTGTTGCTTACCTTTCAAGTGAAATGAAGAGACTTTGAACTCAAGTGCAGCACTCTTGCAAACCCTTGGAAAATGCAGTTTTAGAATGTCTTAAGTGACCCTGAGAGACACAAAGTCCCTCCAGCTGTCACAAAGGAAGACCAAGAATTCCTGTGTTGTGTTTGTTTAGTTTTATCATAAAAAACCCCATATAACAAAAGGTCAACAATCTACCCTTTCTATTTGACTTTTCTTCACTTCTAATCTTTCTCATTAGATGTTTCCAAGTGACCCAATATTTTTTACAGATTTCTCTGATCTACTTCCTTCTTGAAAAATATATTAGACCTGATGTTCTAACTTCCACCTAATGACCACTAAATAGAATTATAGTTTACTCTGTGTGTCTTAAGTATCAATGTTGCATTACATCGGGATGGTGCAACAAGGGCCCTGGCTTCCTTTGTACTTTTTACAGTAAATCAAGGACTCAAAACGTCCTGCCCATTATTCAATTTGTGGCTCATTGTAGTGCTTGACATATTTTTCTCTGGAGATTTGCTGCCTACATAGCCATTTTGCACTTTTTCACTTAAATATTGTTTTTATTAAAACCTTTATCAATGTGCTAGTTTTGGCTGGGATAGAGTTAGTTTTCTTCACAGTGTCCAGTATGGGGCTGTGTTTTGGATTTGCGCAGAACACAGGGTTGACAATATAGAGATGCTTTTCTTATTCCTGAGTAGGGCTTGCACAGATTCAAAGCCTTTCTGCTTTCCATACTGCATTGCTGGCAAAGGGCTGGGGTTGTATGGTGGGCTGGGAAGAGACACAGATGGGACAAGACACAAACCAACAAGAGGGATATTCCAGACCATATGATAGCATACTCAGTATATAAAGTGGGGGAAGAAGAAGGAAGGGGGGGAACATTTGGAATTATGGTGTTTATCTTCCTAAGTAACTGTTATGTGTGATGGAGCCCTGCGCTCCGGGACATGGCTAAACACCTGCCTGCCTCTGGGAAGTGTTGTGGTGTGTTTTTATCTTCTTTATTTGGCATATTTTACTGCTTAATTTGTGGTTTTGAAATCCCTCTGTGTTTTTCTCCCCCTGCTCTTGGAGTGGCACAGGTTCCCCATTTTGTATCTTATGTTGCTACATTTAGACTCGCTCCCTCGTGGTTATTCAGCTCGGTTAACTGTCAGTTCTTGTTTGTTGCCTGGCTGCTCCCTGCTAAGTTGTCAATCCCTCTTGTCCCTACCCTTTTTCCCCAAAACCTTCCCTGCTCCTCCTCTCCTCAGATGTCAATCGTTCCCCAAGCCTGCCCTTTCCTCCAGCACCTTCCCTGTCAGTTTTGTATAATTTGAAACCCCATTGGTTTACTTCAGCCTTTCCCCTCCCTTAAGATCCTCTATTGGTTTACAGATTGTATTTCCCTGCCTTGTGTTCCACCCCCAGTTCGCCTGATTGGTGAAAAAAAAAAAAAAAAAATTTATCCTCCCCCAAGACCGTCCCTCTTTATAAGCTACTGCCTGCCCTTTCTTCTGGGTTTTGGGCTCTTAGGCTAGGCGAGTTGGTCGTGGAATAAAGTTATTCCAGTTACTGCTCCAAGGTCCGTGCTCTTGCCTCTTTGTTCATTCGCGCTGAATACCCGCTGGCAGCTGGATTTTTGTGGGGTCTGCCAGCGGGATCTGTCGCGCCCCTGTTGTCATCATCGCCGGGCCAGCCCCCACGCTGCGACAGAGAAGCAGTGAACTAATTCCTTGTTTTGCTTTGTTTATGCACACAGGTTTAGCTTTTGCTATGAGTCTGTCTTTATCTCGATCCTGAGTTTTCCGGCTTTTGCCCTTCAGATTCTGTCCCCAAACCTGCTCTCAGAGGAATGACCAAGCGACTGTGTGGTGCTCGGCTGCTGGCTGAAGTCAAGCCAGCATCAGTATCATTCTGAAATTCAATCCTGTCCTCAGCAAAGTACTTGCAGCTTTTCCCAAGTAGGTATGAAATGCAATTTAGTAACACATTTTTTCTATCATGCTGTCTAGAGAAAACCTTATCTTTTTCTAGAGAATACCATTTGACAGAATCTCATCCTTCTTGTTTGACAGTGTACTACTGATAACTACTCACTGAAATTATTTCCAAGATACAGAAGGGTAAAGTATACCACACTTTTTGGGGACTTTTTGTTTCAGCATTTGTTTCGAAAACAAATATTTTACTGACTTGATGTCAGTTAACTTCTGCTGCAGAAATATTGATTAAAGACTAGATTGCTCTTACAGTATCTAAACAAAAATAAAGTTTCCCCTATTTTTCTTTAGGAGCACTTCTAACATTTTATAAGTCGTGAAATATCACACATCACCTATCACACCTCCTTGAGACCTGTTACCTTGTAACACGGAAATCAGATTGCTTTACTTGATTTATCCTTGACAAATCCATTTTCACCATTGTTTAGCATCTTTTTATCTCCTCTGTGATTCCAAATAGATTATTTGCTCTAGTATCTTTCCAGGAATTAAATTTAACCTGACTGGCCTGTAATTCACAGGGCCTTTGTGTGTTTTCTGGAAACACAGACACAAACAAACGTTTCTTCTCTCCTCTTGCCATTCATTTACTTTTTATCCTTTAAGTCTCAAATCTCATAAGGGAAGAGTCTAAGATTTCTTAAGTATTCCATAGTGACTTAATTGTGCCAGACAATTTGAAAATATCTGACTCATCTAAGATAACTCTAACCTGTTCTTATTCCTCTTCCCAGTTTTAATTATACCAGTCTTCAGTGCACAGTCAGCCTTTTATAAAATCAATGCTGAGGAAGAAAAAAACTTCCAATAACCAAAAACCAGGCATGTCTCTGTTAGTTTTACCTCTCTAATAATTAATGGGTCAACTCTTTCGCTTGTCTTGCTCTGATTCATTACATGTAAGATATTTTCTTCCACTCAGTTGTTAAAACCACGGTTAATGGCATTTATTCCATACTTTATTGCAATTTCTATGACCAAAATGTTGCTCAGGGTGAAGCTTGGAAGATCTGTGGGGTGCATGGTATGTGATCTTAGTAGTTCTGGGGGCTTCAGACGTTTTTATCTCAGTAAGCTCCTCCAGTATTTTCAGCCACAAACTTACCAGATTTTGTTCCTCAGTGCTCAGATTGATGCTTGCAATAAATCAGAGGACAAAAGGAACATGGTGATACTGGATTTATTCTCCTTTTTAAGGGAACCAGAGTCAGAATACAAACCTCCCTCCAAAACATGTGTTTTTGCAAATCAAAGAGTATAAAGGAACCTTTGCACTGGGGTGCAGTGATCTTGTGTGTGAAAAAGAGACATGGGTAAGAATGGGGTAGCTTTCATTACAGACACTCAAATAAACCTCAGAAGAAAATTGAGCTTATTCAGTACAGTAAATGTGACCTACTAAGAGAAAGCCAAACAGGACTGAGACAGTGGGAGTTTTTCTTTTTCCTGAATTGCTATTAATAAATAAACTAACTGCTTAGAATCTGATACTAATATCTCCGTGTGTGTTCTATAAATTATGCAAATCTTACCTCAGAGAACCTTTGTACATCCTGGGTTAAAGTTCCTACTCTTTTCCAGTGATAATGTTTGAGTAACTTCAAAATTGCTGGATTCACTGCATTATCAGACGGCACTGTCCGGAAGAAATAAGGATATTTTTTCTTATCAGCCAACTCTGGAGTTGTTGCTGCAAATGAAAGCTGGAAAAAAATGAAAGAAAAAAAAAAAAGAAAGTCACCATAAGTTATCTAGCAGTCAGTAAAAAAGCTTTGCTTTTCTAAGTACAACAAGACACAATCTGTACATTGTTGTCATGTAGAGAATTTCATATTCATACGGCTTGAACGTCCTACCAGCACCATTTACTTTTAAAGATATTTTTGAAATATTTTAGCTCTATAAACCACCTGCTGAAAAATTAAACTAGGAAACCTTAAAAGTCAGAGAGATAAATCCTCTGTTTAAAATCAGGCATCTCATACATTACACAGAGCTATAAGGCCTAAGGAAATAAATCTCTATGATGAATTCCCCATCAATTTCTCTTTGTAAAAGTTGAGAATACCTCCAAGAGAATATTATTTTCTCAAATTCTTATATATCTTAAATTACTGGGCAAATCTCTAGGAGTACTTCTTCCTGTCTTCATGTACCAAAACAGCCCCAGGTAACAAAAAAACAGAAAATCACTATGTTAGCCAAGGCTGAAACTCAGAAGTTTACTTGGGTCTCAACTTCCTTCACTGAAGCAGGTCCCCTGTGGTTTGTGTTATAATAGAGGATTCAATGGCTAAAACACAGGAATTCGTTCATGGTTGGAGAATGCTTATTACAAAAGAAAAGAGGAAACCTTTTAAAACATGCAAAACCAAACAGAAAACTTCATTGAATTCTTCTGCGCAAGTTAGGGCAGCATGTTTTTGTGAATGTTTTTCAGATTGCATTTTGAAGAGAATGCCTGCACATTCACTTTTTGAAAACACTCCTATTCCAAAGATACTTCTGGACATTCCCTCCAGTTCTTTTTAGGCTTCTTGGAATGTACCTCTCAAGCATTTTTTTGGCCAGGATTTTCGGTTGAGGTTTCTTAAAGTACTGTTTCAATGTAAATTGGTTTGATTGACACAAAATAAGCTCCCTGATACAAATTTAAAGACTTTCAAAATCAATAGATAGTCAGAAAATGTAGGTGAATTCAAGACTGTATATCAACCGTAGCTTTACGTTTCCATTTTTTAAATTAAGCATTCAACATATTTTGGTTAGACAACATTTTCAGAAATTCAGAGTAGACAAGTTTAATCCGAAAAACCACTTCAAGTCTCTTCCTCAAAAAGAAGGAAAAAATTGTTTTTCTTACTCTTATATTATCTATTTCTTTCTTATATTCTTATGGTCTCTATTTCTTTCTCATAAATATCTAGATTTAGTCTGTCAGAAACAGGACTTATTCTCTGTCTGATCTTAGACTCACAAAGATTTTACTGCATTGTTATAATTGCTTGAATGTAGTTTTTTTTCCTAATTAAAAGAATGTAAACAGCTTAAACTGTGCATAACTTGGACAGTTTACAGTATACCATTCAAAATAGAAGATCCTTTCTCTTCACTGGTCAGGAGATAATGAATAATGCAATTGTCACGTAATTCTGAGGTAAAACATTTTTAATATAGCAACTGGACTATCGCTAGATTTCATTTAAAAAGTGCAATGTGAGGTGCTATGATATATTGTCATCTTGATTTTCCAAAACCATTCCCATAAGGAAAGAAGAATGAACATCTGCCAGATAGACCTAGTCAACTTTTCTATTTAGCCTGGTAGGGCTGAACATCATGCACTCACTGCTCAGTGAAGGTGGAAATAAGGACCTGTAATGCTGGCTGAAAAAGAGAGAAAATTTGACATTAGAAACCAACATGAAGAGGAATACCTCTCAGCAGCCCAGCTGCTTGCAGCCTGCTGACTGCAAAGAACTTGCTTTTCAAGTTATTATGGGTTTGGATCAAACATAATTGGATTGATCTTAAGAAAAAGAAGTGAAGAGCAACACTGATGTAACAGTAGTGGCAAGAAACATCAGCAAGGTTCACCTAGCTCAGATTATTAAATTGAAGGGAAAATTTTTCTGATCAGCAGTACAAAGGTCCATAGTAATGAGAAGCATCTCTATATGCGTAAGCTGTCTTCAGGGTGAAGATCCGTGATATAAGCATGACAATACAAAACCATCCTTTGTGATTTTTTTAGTGACTTAAAGGGCCTAAATTAGTATCCTAATTGCTCAAATTTCCTTGGAAACAAGCAAAACATTACCTTTATTCATTGCTTACAGAAAGATGAAGTCTCATAAGAAATTTCTCAGGCATGTGAGGTGAGATGAGACAAATTTAGGTTTAAGCGCAAAACTAATGATACTGAAATTACAAAAAAAAAAAAAAAAAACCAAACAAACAAAAAAAACAAACCTCTTCATATTATTTTAAAATAAAGGTTTTGTTAAAACAAAAAATGGGAAAATTTGATGTTCAAGCAATTCTCATGTTGTAGATGTATTCAGAGGTCTTTCAAACATCACATATATCATGGTTAGTCTCATTCTGCATCACTTTGACAATAAGACCCTTGTAACAGATGGAGAAATACCCTGAAAAAGTTAAGTCATTAAAAACATTTAATTTTTCATAAAATTATCTCTGTAAGAGTTTGGGACATGCAATGAACTTAACCCCAAAATCACCAGCACTCATTATTCTGCTTTGAGAGGATCAAGGATGAAAAATGAAATAAAACCCCATTATGTTCTAAAAAGTGGTAATAAAAAGATCACGTTAAGAAATGAACTGACATTTTGGAAAAAATACGTGAGATAGCACAGCTATATGAAAACATAAGGAAAACACTCATAAAAACCCCTTTATTTAATGTGATAAAGCAAGTAAGATCACAACACAGTCCACCCACATACGCATTAAGATTGTACACCCCTTTTTAAGTGAGCATTTTTCCTCTGTATTTTAGGGCTAAATTTGTTTTTTCATGGCTGATGTGAAACTTGTATATTGAAAGACTTTTAATAGTTTCTTAACTGCATTCTACAGGATTGAAAGCCATCATGCTTTTTGTTACAAGAATTTATTTTCATAACTAAGTTATTTAGCAATCATATTGTTCATACAGTTCTTTGCAAACTACCAAAGTTCTATTTTTCACATTATTCCACTTTCAAAGCATACATATTCATACACTGCTCTGTAATTTTTTTTACAGGTGTTTATACTTGCCTCTCCATGTTCAGGAGGAGTGAGAGATGAACATTTATATTCAGGATTATAACTCAGCCATAAATACCTGTGGGATGCATGATGTCATTCCTTCACAGAAAATTATTTTACAGAACTGCTAAAAGGTGATGGCCAAAAGCCAAACTTAAGAAGGGATGAATGAAAGGGGAAAAAAAAAGATTTTTCAAGATGGTATAAAGCAGAAGACACAGTGGACAGCTACTGGGTGATACATCATAACTGTGTGTGTTGTGTTTGTGCGTGTGCATACATAAACAGGCTCTGTGCATATGTGTATGCAGACCTAGATTTTAAAAAAGTTTATATATATATAATATAAATATGTATCTCTTTGAATGCTGTCAGAAATCCCTGCACCTACTTCCTAGCGTATCTCTGAGAAATCTTTCTGTAGAGTATGTTTAGAATATCTGCTTCTAATTTGTGAGCAACTGGATCTGAACTTAAAATGAGTGTATGTAGGAAAACATAAGCTATGATTCAGATGGGAATTTCTGAAATGAAGCAGTATAAGACTTTGAAATAGAAAATAAGATCATATTTACCATTCAAGTAAGAGCTATAAAATGTTAACTAGAGTACAATATGACAACTAAATAGACCAGGGTATTGGATAGACTTTGGTGGACTGCTGAAAAACTAAAAAATATACAGAAAGATTTTATTACAGAAGTTTTTGGGGTCAGGCATGTGTGTTGATGAACTAAATTTTCCCAAGAAAGATAATATTTTTTGAAAATGTTAAATGCAGTTGAAAATCCACACATTTTCATGAAAACTTTGTCATTAACACTGGATAGTGATATGAAAAAAAAAGGATGCTAAAACAAAAATGTTGAAAGGAACAGTTCTGCAGAAGGGGAGTAAAAGGTAGCTTCAAAACCCTATATTAAGTTTAAACAGGGTGTGGTAGTTTAAATGAGAAACATCAGTCTAAAGTGCTTTCAAATGTTTCTGTGTAAGGAAGTAATGGTGCATTCTTAAAGTCAGTTGGTTCTTTAATTCAAACTAAAGTCAGTACAGAAGCAGGTATGATAAGATGATAAGCTCTACTGTTCATTTAAAAAAATGGGATGCAGTACTAATGAAATAAATGGGAAAGACTAAGAGTTATGTAAAAAAAAGGTGGATATTATTAGCTGAAACAAAATTAGAAAAGGAAACAACACTATATATTCCATGTATATATTCCATATATGAGTCCAGAAGCTGGAAGGCTGAATGAAGCCACACTGCTACCCCATGTACTGCAGAGAGAGAGGAAGGCACCAGAAATGGTAAGTAATCTTTTTCTGTTCAGTTGTTTTACTATGTCTGGGAAGTATTTGTTTAAGTTTTGTCCCTGTAGTAGGGTTCAGAAGTCTGGGAAAAATAAAAGAGCAGAATTATCCCTGGGTAAACAGTTGCTTTCACCTAAGGCAACAGGTCTATTAAGGAGTCATATTTAAATGGACTGTACAAGCTAAAGTAATCCAGTAACAGTTACCCTTTGCAAAGTTACTGCAGATCCAAATGTGTAGACCTCAGCTGGGTCTGACCCAAGCTGGAAGGAGCCAAGTGGACCTGGACAGAGCAGTCAAAAGCGGCGATGCCAGTGCCAGCCATAGCTGTGCGGAATCGAGTCCAGCATCCAAAGCAGCAGTGTGGCTCAACGTGGACAATCTAGCTTTTGGGGCTGTCCATTGTTTTCCTGTTCCCAGCTCAGGGACAAGGAGAGCGCTGTGGGGAGCACCTGCTATCCTGTCTCTGGGGAAACCACGGGGTACTGTGTGTGGGAGCGGCCACCACTGTCTTTGTCCTGGCAGCCACGCAGAACTATGTCAAGGTGGTACACACCTCTTTGTGTGTAAAGCACCTCTTTCTTTTGTATACTTTTGTTATTAATATTGTTGCT